GAGTAACCAAATTAAGATTATAAGGTTGCTGGATAGACAATCTGAGCAAAGATGATGAATGATGCTACAAGTCACTATTAACCAAAACAACCTGAGGCTCCCTTCTCTCTAAATCCTCCATCAATGGAATCAGATTACTTAAGAAGCTGTGTGAAAACATCTTGGTATCTCTTTTCCTGAACAGATGAAAATAATAGAGTATGTCACATAGACCAGAAGTTCTCAAAGTGGTCTGGGATTTTCTGAGACCCATCCAAAGCACTGGAGGTCAAATTTATTTTCATAATAATTTAAAGGTGTTATTTGCCTTTTTTTTTTTTTAAATAACTTTTTATTGTGATTTGGGTGAAATTTTACAAAGTTGATTCATTTTACTTTCAATAGTTTATACACATTTTGTTTTGTAACACTGCTTACTTTCCCCACTGTGTAACAGCTCTCCTCTCATCTCCTCCCTGTGGTTACCCTTTCCCTGTGTCCTTCTTGTCTATGCATTCTGGCCTCCCTACCTTCCTCCCTGTGCATATGCTGCCCTTCAGATTTCCCATGGTTGTTCTAAGGAGTGCATCTTTCTGGTATACGTATTCAGCTTGCAGCCATCTATTGTTTGATTGTCAGGTCATGGGAGTGACTTCAATTCTAGGCCCCAAAGGTGACAGTCTAGGCCCCAAGGGCTATAGTCTCAGGGATTTTACAGTCTCTATCAGACCAGTAAGCCTTTTATGATATTGAGTTTTGTTCCACATTTTTCTCCCACTGTACCCAGGATCTCCACTTTTGATCCCTTTTAGAGTAGTTGGCATTGGTAGCCGGGCACCATCTAGTTCCTCTTGCCTCAAAGCCACGTAGGCTGAGGTTCTCATGGTCTATTAGTCCTTCAGAACTGTTTCCACATGTCTTTGGTTTTCTTCATTATTTTTGTTTTGGACAAGAAAAGACCAATAGTTGCATCTTAGATGGTCATGTGTGAGCTTTTAAGACCCCAGCTGTTACTCACCGAAGTAGCAAGTAGAGCAATATTTTTGTGTACCATGTTGTGCCAGTTGCGTTTGATGTCCCCTGTGACCATGGTCCCCAGCCTACAGGGCCAGCAACTCACTCCCTCAGGGTGCTTAGTTGTGGCTAAGAAGTTATCCTAACTTTGCCTCCTATTATGTTTAAACTGCATATGGACATTTTTATAGCACATACAAATACATATGTAGGAATATTGTCCGCCAGACTTATGCATGGTCATGGGTATATTCCCATTTGCCTATCCATAGCTGATCTTCTTGTCTATCTATGTATCCACCTGTAGATTAGTGTCTGCTGTTACTGATAATGCAGTATTGTGCATGTAATAGTATTTGCCTTTATTCTGTACCACTTGTGCACCTCTCTGTGTCTTTCTTTTCCTTAGTGACAGACACATAGACCAGAAGTCCTAAAAGTGGTATGGGATTCTCCGAAATACTTTAGAAGTATCTGGAAGTCAAAGTCATTTTCATAATAATTCTAAGGTGTTATCTGCCTTTTTAAATCTCTGTATCTCACAATGGTACAGTTGAGGTTGCCAGAGGCTACATGACATTGATAATGCCACCACTCAGACAGCCAATGGGAGGTGTGCTTGTATACTCTTGTGTTTTGAAAATTTCTCCCTTTTGATTTCTAATATAATAAAATAAATAGCTATAAGTCACATTTTAAAAGTTCTTTTGGTTTGTCACTACTTTTAGTGTGTAAAAAACCCAAAAAACCAAACTCACCGCTATCAACTCAATTCCAGCTCATAGTGACCCCATTGGGCTTCCAAGGCTATTGTACATCTTTATAGAGGCAGACTGCCTCACCTTTCTTCTGTGGAGCAGCTGGTGGGTTTAAACCACTAACCTTTTGGTTAGCAGCCAAATGCCTTAACCACTTCACCACCAGAGGTCCTTATAAACAGAGCTCCTTTTAAGTATGTAAAACCAAAGCCAAACCAAACTCATTGCCATCAAGTTGGATCTGACTCAAAGCGACCCTTCCTTGGGTTTCCTAGGCAGTATCACTATGGAAGCGGATTGCCCAATTTTCTTTCCAGGGAGTAGCTGGTGGGTTTAAACCACCAGCCTTCTAGTTAGAGTCAAATGCCTTAGGCACTACACCACTAGAGCTCCTTTTAAGTATGTAAAGTTTCCTACAATTAAAAAGTTTAGGAACCACTTCCTCTGTCATCATGTTAGGACACCAGTAAACACTAGGATTTTATTCTTTTTGATGAGAATTTGGAAACATCTTAAATAAAACCTTCTTAATGAAATTTAGGAAGCATTCTCTCTCACTAAACCTAAAACACCCAAGCCATTTGCCATTGAGTCAATTTTGACCCATGGTGACTCCATGTGTGTCAGAGTAGGCCTATACTCCAGAGTGTGATTTTATCAGAGAAAGCCTTTTGTGGTGGTTAAGTTTGTGTGTCAACTTGGCTGGGCCTGGTTGAGTGGCTGGGCAACTGGATGTAGTATTTCCCATGATGAGACTGGTAATCAGCTCCATGGTGGAATCTACTGTGAGCAGCTGAGTAGCTGTCTTTGGGTATGTGGTCTGTTTCCTGTATATAAGAAACAGCTTTGGGAATGGCCTCTAGTTTATGGCACGCTTGAACCCTGCATGTAGCCTTCTGGTTGTTCAGCAGCCTGCCATGCTCTGCTAACCTTGGGACTTTCAATGGACTTGAATTAATGGCCTGCTATGTTATGTGGTATAACATCGGGACTGTGCCTTTTTATTTGTTGACCTTGGGCTTGTTAGCCTCAGCAGCCAGTAGCTGCCTGAGTGAAGACATGTCTCTAGCTTCAGTGGGCTGGAAGCAAGAGGCAAAGCTGAAGCCCAAGGTTGAGGGGCTTTCACCCAGCCCCTAGAACCTGGCACTTCGAACTCGGACTTCTAGCCTCCCGAACTGTAAGAGAATAAACTCCTGTTTGTTAAGGCCATCCCATTTGTGGTATATTTCTGTCAGAGAGGCACTAGGTAACCAGAACACCTTTCTTCTGAGGCATCTTTGGGTAGACTCAAACTGCTAACTTTTTGATTAACTGTTTGTGTCACTCAGGGGCCCTCCATATCATTACCAAAAAACAAAAATGAAACCCATTGCCATGGAGTCAATTCTGACTCATAGCAACCCTAAAGGACAAAGTAGAACTGCCCCTTAGGGTTTGCAACGCTATAACCTTTATGGAAGCAGACTGCCACATCTTTGCCCTGCAGAGCAGCTGTGTGGAACCTTTACCTTTCACTTGGAAGCCAAGTGTTTAACCACTTTGCCACTAGGGCTCCTTTCTACCTCATTAGCCACAAAATAGTCAGATTACCCTAAAAGCTCCAAATAATTGTTCTTGGGGTATGAGTATAGGTACCCCATATCTTGTTACTGGATATGTTAATTTGCAAAAGTCTAAAGAAGAAAACTCTGTTACCTTTTGACAATTATATGGAATGGGATCACAAGGCACACAGCCTTGACTCTGAGAGGAAGTAGGCACTGTTTTGGGAGCTCTTGAACTGAAGTGAAGCCAAGAATTATACGAGGTTTATTTAGACTCCAGGCCCTTAGATCTAGATTTCTGAAGCGCATTCTTCAAATAGACTCAGCACAGAGATCAGTTCTCAACTGTTGGTCCAGTTTACATGCAGTCATAATCCTGGGATTCTACAAGGTCATTGCCTCATAAGGATTTTTTTTTTTTTTTTTTTTTGTGATTTGGGTGAAAATTTACAGAGCAAATTCACTTTCCATACAGCTGTTCATATACATTTTGTCTCGTGACATTGACCACAGTTTACCACAATGCAACAGCTCCCCTCCCACTACCTCCTGACAGTCACCTCTTTCCTGTGTCCATCCCTCCATGCACCCCTGCCCCCTGAGCTGTCTCCCTGTGCATAAACAGCCCTTCTTTCTCCCATGATTGTTCTCTCCAAGAAGTGTATTTACCTCAGGTACATGTTCAACTCCTGTGCTTGTCTTTTGCTTGGCTGGAAGCCACAGGTGTGAGCTCAATTCTAGACCTGCAGGGCAGCTAAGGGCCATAGTCTCAGTGGTTCTACCAGGCTCTATCAGAGGAAGGAGTCTTTTTTATGAGCCTTCCGAAGCTGGACACAGAGCATACTCACTACTGTTGAGTCAATTCAACTCATAGCAACCCCTCCTAGGGTTTCTGAGGTGGTATCTGTATAGAAGTAGACTGTCCAACCTTCCTTCAGAGGGGCACAGAGCATATGTGCCCATAAATAGAATATTTGTGAACCTAGTTTTCCTTTGACTCCCTTATACTATTGACACGTGGACTAGGATAGCTGTAGAGGCATATATCCTCAAACCAAAGTAACCAAACTATAAAACACAAGCACTTGGCATGGATTTGAACAAGCAAAGATTAGCTGAGTATCTGGTATGTGCAAAGCAGTAAAGGAAGTGACTGGGGAATGCAGGGCAAGGCACAGTTCCTGTCCTCGAAGGTTGCAACATCTAATCACTCACCATTTTCCAGTTTTGCTTCATAGTATCCTCTGTCATTTACTAGCATTAACTGACAGGGATAAGCACAGAAGGGTGACCTCCATTTCTCCCTTTTTTCTCAACAGACTAAATTCATATAGGATTCTCTGAGGCATGTCTAGCCCCATGTCCTGAAGGAAGAGCTGAAATAATTTTCACAGAAAACCCATGTGTTAGACACAGAAGAGTATTGCCTATTATTATACAGATAAGAAACAAAACAAATGGAATACACTTACATGGCTCTATTTTAATCAATACACTTTTATAATCATGTAAATTAAGCTATTTTGTCTTTGGGAGAAGTGGGTGAGAAGAGAGTAGCAAGAGCCATCAGCAACTCTTAGGAAGGCAAAAATGAGTCATGTCATTGGCATAGGAAGCAAGTGTGAGGAGAGAGCTCCAGTATCTGAGACCGGTTTGGTGAGTTTGTTTTCTCTCTGGGAGTCTGGAAGAGATGAGCTCAGACCATTCACCGCCTCATTGTCTTGCTGACTGCCTTCCTCCTGGGCAAGAAAGAGAGCTGTCTTTCCTGTAGAGTTTTGTAGGCATCTGAGAGCAGGTCATGGAAGACAGCTGTTCTGGGGCCCAGAAGGGGCAGTCTGTAGTGAATGCTCTCTGGAGGGCAACACAAGAAGAAGGAAGGACAAGGGCTGCTTAAGTTTCATCCTCAAAGAAACTCAAAATAACTAAAGGACACCAAAGGCTGTTTTAACCTTATAAAACATATTCAAAATTCACAGAAGAGTTCTTTGAATAGAACGCTTTATCCCTCATAACAGTTAAGCTTTAACAAATCTTATCAAAAAGGCCAAAAAAAGAAGTACCTAGAAACATAAAACTCAAATATTAGGAGCCATCACCAATTAAATTGAAATTAAAATAAAATGTGTCTGGAGTTGTAATGTGAATCAAAGGGAAAAGAAGATTCAACTCTCAGGAGCCTTTTCAGGGACCACATATAACGGTTCTGTCCTTTCTGAAAAAACAAAACATCATCTTACAAAACAGGGAGAAAGTGGTTGCATTTCAAAAGGAACATTCAGTTAATTGAATTATTTTTCTAGGGGTCTTTAAAGTCCTTAGCTTCCTGACCTCTTATTTATTTACAAAATGTTATTTATCACAAAAATTTATTTACAAAATGTCAGTTAATATTCAAATTTTCAGGAAGACACATCACTTGAAGGAGAGTAAATCAATGCATGAAATAACACTTTCCCTTTGGGAATCCTGAGTAATTAATGGAATTGGAGCCCTGAATGCTTCGGAGCAAGCTCCTCTGCCCAGCTAAATCAGAGCTTAGAGATGTTCCAGAATCATGCAAACCCAGGATCCAGTTTAGTCTTATCACTGTAATGAAGAGAAAACAGAGGTCCAGGGCCACAGGCACTAATGGACTAAGGACCAGAACCCAGATCTCTTTAACCCTGACACAATGCTCTTTGTTCCGATCATACCACTGTGCCAAGTGGTAGGCTGTAGTCAGGTGGTTAGCATCTCCAAGCAATGTTTACCATGACCAAGTGTCGTTAGATACTTGACTCAAGGCAAGATAAATGAAACCAGAAGGAATCCCCATTACTTGTGGAGATAGGCCCTTTCCATTTATATATTCATTAAGAATTATTGGTAATATATAAGGTTTAGTTGAATCCAGGAAAAGACTAGAAATCACTATTGTGGCCAACAGAATGAGTTAGACAACCACTGGCAGTAATGTTTATTGGGATGAGTCAGCCATGTGGTATTTGTAGCATGTCCACAGGGAACACAGCCCAGGTGGGTGGAGGCTTCAGCAATAAGCAGCAAGTGCGGCAGAATGAACATGCCTAAGCTCCATAAACCAGTGAGACTGGGCAGTGTCAGCAGTTTTTCTGGGTCAACCAAAGGTGAAGGCTGCTTGTGTTGAGTATGCGGCTTTCAGTGGGGGCAAAACTGTTCTCTGGATTTACAAGTGGGAATGTAGGCTCAGACAGTTTAAACAATTTGCCTAAGCCTATACGGCAAAGTTAGGATCCAAATCCAGGTTTCTTTGCTCCTATACTAGTGTTTTCTCAGTGGTCAAAAACATAACACAAGGCCAAGGCTTAGCTCAAAAGGGTCACAACAAATAGAAGGAGTGAATCAGGCCCATGTGGCATAGAATGTGCCTGGGAAACAACATGACATGGATAAGAAGAGCAAGAAAAGCCTACAGTGGGGACAAATGGAACTGGAGAGAGGGGAGGGCTGTATATCAGTCAAAGCAGGACATAAAGCAACCTGCTAAGCTTGGTATAGTATCTAAGGCATTTGACTGCTAACCAGAAGGCTGGCAGTTCAAACCACCAGCTACTCCTTGGAAGGAAGACTGGACAATCTACTTTCATAGAGATACCTCCTCAGAAACCCAAGGAGGTGTCGCTATGAGTCAGGATCAACTCAATGGCAGTGAGTTTGGTTTGGGGCTACTAAGCTTCAGCTCCCAGTCAGCTCTACAACCACTCTCCTTACAATCTCACCTCTAGTACTGCTGTCCCAGGTTGGACTGTGTGAGCAAGAACAAGGTCTGTCCAAGAACATAGTGTACTTATCTTGTGCCCACCAAGTCGAGCTCTTTTACTAATAAAGGAAGTAAACTACCAGGGCTAATAAACTGATGAAAGGCATCTTGTTACAGTGTCCTCCAATATCAGAAAATAAAGATTCTTTTTGACTGAAGGGCATATAATAGTGTGGAGGGGGGAGCGGGGTGAGGAAAATTGGTTGGTTCATCCCTTTGTGAGGACAGGCCTGAAAAAGTCCAGTCCAAAGGAAATTTTGAATGAATATGTGGCTGCTACAGAGAACCCTGAAACCAAAAGCACATGCCAGTATTCTCTTGGCTTCAAAAGAATGAGGTGGTCACAGACCAGAGAACAGCTGAGTGGGAAGGTTACTTCAGGTGGATGCTCTTAGCTCTAGGCTCTTCTGTGTACTTTGCTTAAATGAAAGCCATGAACTAGGACAATGTTTTTGGATAAATAAGATGGCATTCACTGGGACTGACAGTCTTTCACTCCACTAGATGCAATCTCCAAGTAACCATACTTATCTTAGTCTCTGGTCCTCCCTTTTGGCATCCTCTCCCCCAGGACATCCCTTCTATCCTCTAATTTCCTTCTAGATGCCTTTTTAGCTCAGTTCTGGCTCTAACTCCCCTGCAACCTCCCAAGATAAAGCTTAGACTTTCCCATCTGTAGGAGCTCTCGTAGTGTAGTGTCTAAGGCATTTGACTATTAACCAGAAGCCCGGAGGTTCAAAACCACCAGCCACTCCTCGTAAGGAAGGCTGGGCAATCTACTTCTGTATAGATACCACCTTGGAAACCCAAGGAGAGGTCGCTGTGAGTCAGATATGACTCTACAGCAGTGGGTTGGGGTTTTTTTTTTTTTTTTTTTTTTGGTTTTCCCAGCGGTACAAAGTGAAAAGAGTGAATAAGGATCTTGATTTTCCTTATTGTGTGTTATCAAATGAAAGAAAAAGTTCAGATGGCTTCAGGTAATATGGGAGTAAATAAGAAGATGGATAAAGTCATTAAGGTAATAGCCTATGATAGCCTATGCTCCACTAAACCCTCAAATTATGCCACCTCAAAAAATGTTCCCTTCCCACCTTCACAACTTGGCTGCCCTAAAGGTTGAGACTTAGGTCAATGCTGAAGCTAGAGACAAAGCCTCTATCCTTTGCTTTATTAATAGCAAGCAAAGATAAGAATAGCATTGGTCAGTTGCTGGGAGGAGGCAGGTATTTCAGGGGACCTGCAGGGATGGAAGTTTTAGGGCCCTGGTGAGGCAATTCCAGACATGTGCAGATACAGCTCCCTTCCCACTTTAATTAGTACCATCAGGACTATCTGTGGAGGGACTTTTATCTAGTTTATACCACGTATCTATGGAAATTCCTCAGCAAAGTAGATTATGGGGCTCTATAGAAGGAGTCCAACTCAAAGGCACATAACAACAACAACAAATAGAAGGAGTGAATCAGGCCCATGTGGCATGGAATGTGCCTGGGAAACAACATGACATGGATAAGAAGAGCAAGAAAAGCCTAGAGTGGGGACAAATGGAACTGGAGAGAGGGGAGGGCTGTATATCAGTCAAAGCAGTACATAAAGCAACATGGAAAAGAGAAAGGGATAAGGAATGGGAATTTGTTCGGAAAATTTAAATATTATGGCAGGGATTCAGCTTTTCATTCTATCACCCTGGGGTAGTCTATCTCACACTACAAATAGTCCAAAAGAAATCAAACCTGTCAGGATGTCATCACAAGGAGGTTTGGGTGCAGTCTTAGGTCTTGGTGGATGAAGACCCATCATCCTGATTGGAAGGAGCAAGAACAATTAGTTAATTGGCCAGGGTTTGGTGGAAAGGGATGTGTCTTTATGCATTTTAAAACACAGATGGTCTCTTGAATCCAGCACCTGTTAACATGGTGACCAGGTTACTTTTGCAGCACTGTGAGATGACTCGGTTTACAACTTATCAAGCTGTTTTTATTTTTTGGCATTTTTGTGGATTTTAAGAAAAATCACTTAAAAAATAAGTTTATTCCACTGTCAGAACATGGATGGTCTGAAAACAGGAGGCATTAAGTAAAGAATCCTCTAATTTCCAGGGAAAAAAAAACGTAGCAACTCTTCCAGATCAGTGATTTGCCTTTCAAGAGCGAAACTGAAAGAATATTTTAGTTGGAACCTTTTAATTTTGGAGAAAAACTTCTTGACCACATCCTATTTCTTCTGATGGCCAAAGTTGTAGAGGACACCAAAATAGTTTTATATTTGTTTAAATTGTTTAATTTATAACAATGACAAATCTATTAACTTTGATGGTCTATCTAAGGCTCTACACTCATTTCATGGTTTCTAATTTCAGAAAAATCTTTTATGATTATTTTTGCTTTACTAAAAATAAAATAAAGGTTGGGCCAGTCAGTATATTTTATTCAATTGCCATTGGGGTACTCACTGAAATTTAGGAAAAAAAGAAAAACTCCTATTATCCACTTTGGGCAAAACAGATGATATTTGTAGCACTGAATAAATTAAGATTCTTTCTACACTGTAATTCAATAAATGCCTATCCTTTCACCCATTTATCACCCATTCATACACCTTTCTTTTGACCTTCCCTCTCTCCTTCCTTCCTCCTTTTCTTCTCTTCCCTTTCTTTACTTTTCTTCCCTCTTTTTATTTCTTTCCTTCCTTCCGACATCATTTTAATTCCTGTAATGGCTATAATTAAAGTCATTTAAAAATTGTATCATGTCAGTGAGGGCAACTCCACTTGCCTGTGTATGTGGTGAGATGAAAAGAATATGAGGACTGAGTTTATAAGCTAAAATAGAATCAGAGCCATTATTTTATAGTCACACTAGGTAAATGTCAAACAGAAATGGTTCATTTTCCTTCATAATATGAAAAGAAGGACCAATCTTATGATACTTTTGGTTGGTACTGACTTGATTTTAGGACTAGTCCAACCCGTGGTCTTAGCTTTAAAGGCATAGGAGCTGTAAATGACTCTAGGATTTAGGACTTCATTTAAAGTACCATACTAGCAAGATGAACAGAATGGGACAACACAATTCAAAAGTACCTCCCATAGAGGAGTAAGATTTTCTCAGAAATCTCTGATTTTACATAGTCTAGTTATTCATTTAAAGTCTATAAAGAATATTATTAGAATTATTTTTACTGTGATCTGAGAGAAGAGCTCTTTAGGATTGTAGAATTGGTATAAGTAAATGTTATCAGCACTGGAGCCTGTATTGCCCAAATACTCATTTCCTCTACCACCCTGTCTACTGGGGCCAGGCACCTGGGACATAGTTTCAGTGCATCTGAGTCCACATCTCAGCCTGGAGTGAATGGCTTTGAGTTCATAAAAGCAATGAGAACATCTGCCGATGTGCAATATAAGGTAACAAGAAGCCCTATTTATTTTTCCACATTATTGCTCTTTATATGAGGGAAAAATATTTAAAGATTGTCACCAGAGCACACGTAACTTCTTTGGTTGGTCACACATGTTGTTGTTGTTGTTATTTGCCATCGAGTCGGCCCCGACTCATAGCGACCCATCCTTGGGTTTCCAAGGCAGTATCACTACGGAAGTAGGAATGCCCAACCTTCCTTCCGAGGAGTGGCTGGTGGATTTGAACTGCCAGCCTTCTGGTTAGCAGTCAAGTGCCTTAGGCACTATGCTCGGATGGCTATATGTTTACATTCCAGCCATCTACTGTAAGGCAAATCTATGTCTCCTGGTGCCTTATACAAGATGGGCACATGTTTTGAGTTTCTGATGAAAGTAAACACTGAATCCTTTTCCCCCATCTGAGAGTCAAATACAGAAGAAAAAACAAACCCTGATTATTTGTAATCAGATTATTTGTAATCAGAATTCTGACTGGAATTTATTGCTGTTACAATCAATCTTGACAAGAAAGCAGCAAATGAGAAAAATGAAACAAGATCTGTACCTCACACTATACACAAAAAAGAACTCCAGATGGATCAAAGACTTAAATGTGAAACCTAAAACTATACAGTTCCTCAAGGAAAATTTAGGGTCAAATTTAAGGGCCCTAATATATGGCAT